GCTGGATCAGGTGGCACGGAATAATACAGGCTAATGAAATACAGCACAGCTTTCCATTACTGTTAGTTTTTACAGTGTCGTCATTACGTGTAATTTATGTTTAAAAAATTCAATTTTATACAAGGCACTGGGAAATAGGGGTCTACAGGTCATCCAACGACTTTTAGAGGCTCTGAGAGTCCTTATTGTACTCCACTGTTCCAACAAAATGTTAATAAAATAAAATAAAAAGACTTTTTTCCCTTTCCCCTCCCCTAACCTTTTCTGAGAGAGTTGATTTTTCTTTTAATTTGGGGAGTATTTTTAGCCAGCTGTCTTCTCTGCCTCATCTCCTCCCAGAGTGTGCCTGGGCAGATCACGCATGTTCAGAGAGAGGTGACCCCAGATGAATCGCCCGAGTCTGGAAACAGAGGCGCCGCGATGGGGGAGGACAAGGCCCGAGCGGCCAGCCAGTCGCTGCCCCTGTTTGCCGCCGGCCCTCTGGCCTGTCCACTAGCTGCAGGCAGACACTTTTATTCTAAAACTTAGGCTGGACTGAAGGTGCTGGGTTCAGTCCCGTGCTTATTTCCAAGCGAGCCCTGCCTCTGCCCCTCCCCCGCTGTCAGACCTGAGGCTGCGGAGGGCGCTGCTGTCATCTGTCTTTCTGCTTCACCTGCACTGGGCCCGGCCCGGTGGCGGTGCCCAGCGGTCACCAGGGACAGCGTGGAGGCGGCGCCCTTGGAGAAGCGCATGCACAGCCAGTCCCACTGAGGGGAGTCAGCCCTGCCCACAAGGCTTGGACCCTTAGGGAGGCCGGGTGAGCTGGCGCTGGAGGCCAGCAGGCTGCAGGTCACAAAGCCCACCAGTTTGGTTTGCATTTTAACAGAAACCTTAAAAAAAAAAAAAAAAAAAAAAAGGGAAATCTGCCTATCTCCTAGGGGATAAAAGTAATAAGCAGGTGTGGCAGCTGAGGCCACTCCTTTTAGCTGCTGCCACAAAAACAGGCTGCGTTAATCAATAGGACGCGGTGCTTGTTCTGGGCTGTTGAGAGCGTCCCGCCCGGAAAAGGGCTGGAAAAGGACTCTCTGGTCCAGCTTCTAACAGGAACGGCGCCCAGCTCCTGGTGGAAAGGGAGCTGTCCTTGGAAGGTGATCCCGGGGAGCTTGAAGAACAAGCCTGCCCCGGCCGGGGTGCTGGGCTCGGGGCCTGCCCGGCAGAGCTGGGTCTGAACGTGCGCTCGTTCCGCAGAGCGGGCAGTGCTGTCTCAGAGGGGACAGGGCCCTCCTGGGGCAGGGGCACGCAGCACTCCGCCCGCTGACCTTGGGCAGTCCCCGCTTCCCTGTCTCCTCCTGCGGCGAGCGTGGGTGGACTGTCTCAGCCTTACTGTCTACCAAGAATGTATTTTAATTGTCAGTGTCACAGATGAGGTGGGGAGGGGGCAAAGAGGGGACTCTTAGAGTGGACAAGTGGCAGGCACGGAAGTTAATGAAAAAGATCCCCTCAGTACATAGTGCCAGTGTTTTCCGATAGTGCAGGTGACACCCGACGCAAAGACAGTTCTAGGCTTTGTGGAAAGTAACTCATTCTTCCAAAGGCTGCAGCTGAAGGAGGACTGGAGATGGATGGGGGTGGGGAGAGGTTTCCGCCGTAGGACAGTGACACCCAATTGCTTCCATCTCAGCTCTGCTCAGCCCTTGCTCAGTCCCTCTGCGGCTAGATTACTCCTTGCAGATAGCAATCAACTGGAAGGAAGTGTGTGTGTCTAATTTGCATGAGATTATTTAAAACAAAAAAAAAAAGGTCTGCATTAGTCAGGGTGATGGTAAACAACGCAAAGAGATGCCTTTTATAATATAGCCTGTGCCTCAGCTTTCAGAGCCAAATATAATTCACTTACAATTGGCAGTTTCCTTTATTATTCCTTTTAACCTTTTGAATTCTGCAAGGTCTCAATCGAAGCTCTCCACTGTTGCTCTCCGCCGGGGTGGGTGGGACCTGTCTCGAATGTCTCAGGTGTGGGTCCTGTGGCACCTCCTCAACCCCAAAGGAGGTCCTTTCAGTACTAGGACCGTGACTGGGCAGAAAACTAAGATAAGTGTCCCCACCACCGCCCCCAGCGAATCCCCCATGAATCACTTGAGTCTATAAATAAGAGCCCTGAACCTAGTCAGTCTTCCCTAAGCTGGGGGCGCCGCAGAGGAAGGGGACACTGGAGGAAGGCACACACCAGGTGGGAGAGGCTGCTGAGCTTAGTCGGGGTTAGAATATTAGAGCGAGACAGCAGGCCTGGACCCTGGTCCCGCTGGAGGTATTCAGGGTGGTCCAGGAGGACCAGGGCTCGGCCTCCAGTGTTGTTTTGGTATAACCCCAAACAGCATTCCATGCCTCTCACCTCTGGCTGGGGACTGAAGACTTAAGATGTAATTTCATAACCTCCCATTCCATGACACTGCTGGTGGGGAGCCAGCAGGCAGAGATGCAGGGCCTGGGGTCGTCATCATCATCATCAGGCCAACTAGTGATGGGGGCATAGTTTTCACCCCCTTGGGCCTCCGTTTTTAAAGTCTATTACGGGGCTGGGGGGCAATGACTAGGATAATGGTGTAGCTCTGAAATCACATTATCTGGGAGATCGTTAAAACGCTTATTTTTCTCTTTAAAAGAATGATTCATTTTCTGTAACTAACTCTCCGGAGAACTAGGGATATCAGAATTCCAGCCAAGGTAAATTTAGAGCATCACACTTGATAAGGCCTCTGAAAAACAAGAACTTGGAAGGAAGTGCTGATGCCCTTTAAGCCACAGCCTCACTGGTGGACTCGGCTGCAATAATGCAGGGAACATGTTTTATTAGGAAAATAGGCTTCGTAAAAGCTCAGGGCCAGAGGGCAGAACAGCGGGCAAGGAGTCCTGTCCCTTTAACCAGCGCAGCTTCAGGGCCGCGGCACAGCCTGTAACTTACTGTATATTTCCCCAGCGTTAAACATTATCATACTTGTTTATATTTGAAAGAGCCAGAAGGGAAAATGAGAATGCAACTGAATGCTCCTTTTGGGAAAATTATCCTCATTTGCAGCCAGCGGCTGACAAGGCACACGAACCACCAGGCTTATGAAACCCCATCGTGTGGCGGTGACCCGCGGCCCGTGCTGACGTCGCAGGTGCCGCTCCCTTCTCCAGTGGCTGCTGGTCAGCTGGGTGGAGCAGAGTCTTCCCCGCCAGAACCTGGGAAGGATCCCCTTCCTATTTAGGAGGAGAGGCCGGCCGTCACTGCCCAGGCTGGAGCCCAGGCGGCACATGCTCAGGGCACACGTGCTCTCCGTGTTTTGCCTGGCCTGTCTGTCCTGCTGCACCCCCTCTTCTCGGGACATGAAATGCCAGTTATGCTAACCCCTGGGGAACTTGGGAGGAGGACCACCTCCTGTAGCCCTGTATACTCAAATCTAGCTGCTGCATTTGAACGTGCTGTACACCAGCAGCTGATCCTCTTTCTCCTGAGAGCGGGGTGCGCTCAGGAACAGCCCCTCAGTCCTCGACTTCGTGAGGTGTGGCCTTGGAGAGACGAGAGCGCAACTGCTCAGCACTGAGACAAGGAAGGGCCTGGGGCCGTTCCCTGTCATTCAACCATCCGCCCTTGACCGCTTGCAGCAGGATGTAAAAAGTTGGGGGGCTGACGGCAGCCAACTCACGTGCCAGCACAGTGCGGGGCAGCCTGTGCTTTAGCGCATTAATGTGCTCCATCTATTAGCCCCTTGGCACAGAGCATGAGGCACCATGCTTTGGAAGATGCTGATCCTCAGAACCTCCTTGTACTTCATCTACCCCCAGGGGCAGATAGACCATGCTGTGGGCCTCTAATGGAGAGCTGCCGGCCAGATGTGGGAAAGCTCTCGGCGAGTTTAAAAGCTCTGTGTTGTGGCTGGACTGGATATTGGGATTCCCGGAACAGCCTGGCTGGCCGAGTGGTCTTCTGCCGGCTAGTGCTGACCTCCCACCTGCTTTTCCCAGCCCGAGCGGCCGGAGCACTGTGTACACGTGCACCGACTTCCCGAGGCGGGCCCCCGGGGAAAGGCTTTCTCGCACCTGGGCGCCACGCTTCTTTCCTGGGCTTGGGGGATGGTGGGTGCCCTGTTCCTCTTCCTGCAGAGCCAGCTCCCGGGTCTGCCTCAGACCCGTTGGAAATGTTCCCGCTGTGTCCCCACTGGAAACGTGGTCTTCATGGGGTTTTCACTTGCCTTTTATTCCTCGGTGGGCAAATCCTCTCCACATGTTATGGCCACTGCAGATGGCGCCCTGCTATTTCCTGATGTCCCGTGTGCCGTGTGGTTTCGAGTGTCAGGAGGATTTTAAAAAAAGGGAAAAAGAAAAACTAGCCAAGGGCGATGCAGGCGGCCGACGATAGGCTGGGGCAATAATCATCTGAGAGTTCGGGCCTGGCCTTGTTTTGATCTGTTTTCTTGTTTTATTTTCTTCTTTACATTCTATATCCCATTCATACTAATCACAGTCAGTCCTGATTTTTCTTTTTATTTCTGCATTTGTCATAAAATAAAGCAAATTATTCCCGTCTTCAGAAACGATCTAGACTAATTAGTCGTCTCACCCAATAATTAGTTTTTTGTTTCCCTGTCTGTTTTCATGCATTATTGTTAGTTTTTTCCCCTCTTTTTTTTAACACCATTACAGATTAAAATGAGCCACATTTGCAGTTGATGGTATCTGTTTTCGGGGGAAGAATGGAGAATTGCAGTACGGAGCGACTTCAAAAGCAGCAATAAACTCAAGGATAAATTAAGGAAATTGAATGAGCCACATTTGGAAGCAGTGTTGAGGCTAATATTCTGTCGCTTAAGGTTAAATTGCAACTGAGAGAGGTTCTGGAGAATCCGAAATCGGGGAGGCGACTTAGCAGGATGCCAGCATCCTGTGGCTGGGAGGGTCTTTTTCTCAATGACGCGTGCGTTGCCGTTGTGGGCAGTAACAAAAGGTACTCACCTGCTCGTGTGTCCTCTTCCCGCCAGGGCTGACAGATGAAGAGATCGATCTGGCTTTCCAGCAGTCGGGCACGGCTGCCGAGGAACCTCCGTCCTTGGGCCCGGCCACGCAGGCGGTTCCTGTGCAGCCCCCTCACCTCATTTCTCAGCCGCACAGTAAGTCACCACCCACCCTGGCTTCTGCCCTCACCTTGACAGCAATGCAGGACTCCGGCCAAGGAGCAGCGCCTCACACTTCCCAGCCAGCCCTCCGGAGAGGCAGGTTGTGGGAAGCTCTTAAATTTTTCAAAAGAATGTGACACACCCCAGTCCTCCTCCAGACAGACGTTTAAGTATGTGACAGAGGTGTCAGGAGAGACAAAGGATAAATGAGTTTATTGTGTCCTTTCAAGTATGTTGATTACAAGCAAGGATCTGTAAACGTACTTACTGGTTCTGTTTTTTCCTTCAGTGCGTTTGCCTGTTACTGATCCTCTAATAAGGGCATGAACGTCTGACTCGTGCTCCTTTGCTCCACTGGAACAACATGTCTCCTCCTCTTATTTTTTAAGCAGAGTTAGTTGGCCTCCCCTAACCCCCACCTCATCCTGGTGACACCATGTATGTTTGCATAGCGGCAGACTCAGTTTTCAAGTGTGAAGGTCCTTTTGAAAGTTGCTTTTAATTATGACACAGGAACATGGCTCACGAGGGGTTTTTGTTGTTTTTCAAATGAAAGCTATTTTAGGAATAACGATTCTTCAAACTAGGAATAAATGTACACCTCCAAAGTACAGCCAGAACCCCTTCTTTAAGTCACTTGTAAAAAAATCTTAAAAGGTTAAAACTGACTCCATCGCTGTGGAAAAGAGCTCAGTTTTGTTTCTTTAACGCGGCTTAACCTTGCAGTTGTCTTTCAAAATGCCTTTTCTATAATTGTCTTCATTTTAATTGTCTGTCTCAGAAGTTTTATTTTTTCAAAACATGATTTAAAACAGTGCTACATATCAGATTTTAAAAGATATAATTAGCAAAAGGAAAAAAAGAGGTAATTCATTGAAAGGCCACATTTGTTGGACCCCCCTCACATGCCCTCACTCCCTGGTCCTCACTGGCTCACCCACCGCTGTGGGTTAGAACCTGCTTTGTGTTCACAGGCCTCGTCTAGGTTTCTCCTCGCTCCTGCTTTTAGATAAGGCTGAATAGGTGAGGCCAGGTAGGGCCGCCCTCAAGTCCCTCTCCTCCACGGTTGCCTCACCTGACACGCTGCTGGCGTGTGTCACCTCCGAGGCCAGAGAAGCTAGCAAGGCACGTTGGCCTGGGACACCTCTCTCCTCCTCGGCCGGTGTTCTCTGCTCCATTGTGTTTGCTTTGGGTCACTTCACATACTTTCCCTGTTTGTTTGTGACCAAAGGCTCAATCTCCACACTTTTTCTTCAGTCGTGTCCCTGGGCCCAGCCGTTTAATGGGATTTGTTGAGGACAGGCAGTGGCAGCTGGGGTGCGGAATTTTGTAACATGCACATCTGTTTTGTTCCAGCTGTTTCCTCCAGTGGCTTAATACCAAACAGGTCTCTCGGCTACTTGGAAACTTCTTGCCCAGGACAAATTGTAGTTGGCCTGAATCATCACGGCTGGCCTGCTTTCAGTGACTTAAAGGGTTAAACGTAGTCTTTCTGGAAGAGGCAAAAGAATGGTGTGGGGAGGGGCCGTCCAGTCGTTTAAATTACTCTCCTGTCCAGATCTCTGAGAAAAAGCCTTACGTGTTGAGGTATTTAGGTGGGAGTAACTTTAAGAGTCTCCAGGCCCTGAAAATAAAATGCATCTTCTTAGAGACGGACTCCCTGCTTTGCAGATGCTAGAAACAGTCGCCACGGCTATTTTAAATACCTGGGGTTTTGGTTGTCCCCAGCGAACCTCATTCTCCTTGTCCTCTTACACAGTTCCCTTCAGCTCTGGGGGTGACTCTCCCTCTTCACTTCTGTACTTTTGCCAAGAGGTGTCAAAACTGCTCCAAAAAAAAAAAAAGCTTGATTTTGATTAATATAGAGAAACAAGACTTTGCCTGACTGATAATAAAACTGATAAATGACATTTGAATTACTTGTAGCGGTAATTTATTACATAAAATATCTTTTATTTGACATGCGATTAGTTGCTGGAAGCATCACTCAATCTGACTAGTTTAAACATGCTCTAAAATGAACCCCAGTAAAACCAGGGCTGTCTGTTGCTGGCGTTATGAAATATACGAATCCTGGAGTGAGGAAAAATCTGACTTTAAATATTTAAATGATTAATTGGGTTTATATATTTTTTTTTTACCTTTCTAACCCCCTTAATTACAAGCAAACTCAGGGGAGTTTCTGAACTAGGTGTGCAATCTGCATGCTTATCACCGAGGCATTGTCTGCGTCCTGGGAGGGATTTATGGCTCCTTTCACGTGCGTTCCTGTGTTTTACATCTGGAGCTGGGCAGCCCCCTCTCCTTCCCATTTCTCGACTTTTTAAGGACATTCTGTCTCTGAGCCCGTGCCTGGAGAATAGGCTTTTCTGGGCTCGGCTCAGCTCCAAGTGCCCGTGTCTCAGGGTAGGGTGGCTTTCCTGAGACCACCCCGGGGAGCCCTGGACTTGCCAGCTCTCCTGTTAGGTGGCAGGTGTCCCACTGGGTGCCCCTCTCAGTAGCTCTGCTCATTGGGAAATGTGATTGACCTTGAGGTGCTCATGAATGCCGTGTCAGCAAGGAGAACGCAGACGTACCAGAGCCGGCCCGTCGGCCAGCTCATGTTTACTGAGCACCTACTGTGTGCTCGTGCGGTATCGTGAAGATTCAAACATGAACCCTAAGAATCTCACAGGCTCATGGGGGAGATAAGATAAATTCTTAAGAAAAAGATGATAATATAAGACACGATTTAATGTCAAAATTAATTATACAGACAAGAAATTCCACAAGAATACAGAAAAGAGAAAAATTAATGTGGGCTCGAGAAGTCAGGAAGGCTTTGTGAAAGTGCTAAGAGGCTGACACGATGAGAAGCTGGGTGTCACCTGGTGTGAGAATAAACCTGTGTTCTCAGGGCTTAAAAGAAGGTTGGTGGAGCTCAGGAAAAGTCAGACCGGGATTTGGGAGGAAATGTGACATTTTCTCTCTTTTGGGTTTCTTTCTGTTGGCGCTCGCGTCAGGAGTCAGTGTGTGTGTCTTAGCCTGGTCCTGTGCAGAGAGCTCTGATTGCTTGTTTGATTGATTCGTTCCAGGCTGATTTTTCTTCTTTCCTCCCAGGGAGACAAGAAGCAAGGGAGCTTTGAGATACAGGCAGGGCAAGTGTGACTCTTGTAGGATAATAATTTTTTCTTAGGCTTAAATACCTCCCCCACCCACTATCTTGATAAACACTGTAAGCCCTTTCAAAACTGACCTATACGTTCAGTTGCCTCTTCTTAAAATCAGATGTAAATATTTGAGTTGGTGAAAGGCTTTGATATTTGATTAGAAGTCCTGAGAGGAGGGGTGTGCTTTCAGTCCCCTCCTTATTCAGCCCTCTCTAGTGACAGACTCTCAGCCTTGATGATCCTCATCATGGGGCTCGCCCGTGTCGCCTGCGGCATGCCGGGCCCTGCGCTGGAGCCCGGGATTAACAGATGAACGGACAGTGAGCATTGCTCCCTCTGCACTCCTGTCCGGCGGGGCCTCCTGTCCAGTGAGCATTGCAGTTCCTGTAAGGTGGTCCAGGTGAGGACAGTGCAGGGGGCTGCAAAGGGGCTCTTCGGGGAGTAGGAGCCGCCCAGCTGCATTCTGGGGGATGAGTGGTTCAACTGCTAGGATGGACAAGAGCGTTCCAGGCCAAGGCACAGCAACTGCTGGAGCGCAGGCCAGTGGTGTCCAAAGGGCCGACTGAGAGAAGGCGCAGCCATGGGCCCTCCCTGACAGAGGTGGGGAGAATGGACAGTCAACGGCACATTGATTTTTGTTCTTTGAAATGTGTCATTAAGTGTTTTTGAGGCTGTATTACCTATTTGACTACATTATTCTTAGACTAACATCAAAATCCTTTCTTCCATCTGAGCAAGTGCTGCATGGGATTTGGGGCAGATGCCCTGGGAGTGCATGGGGAAGGCCACTGTCCAGCATCACACCCTTCTGTGCCCCCGGCTCCCTGGTCAGCGTCGGCCTGCCCTCCATTTTGGCGAGGATAGACGGTCCCTTGGCTTGCACAGACCCCTGTCCCCACCAGTCTGCACTTGAGTGTGTGTTGTGTCTTCCCTTTGAACTACATTCATTGAGCCAGAGACTAAAAATAAAAAAAAAAACCAAACAGAAAATCTTTGACCCAAGGCCTGACTTAGCAGGTGTTCTAGAAATGCTTGTTGAATGGATAAATGGTGGTGGATGAGCTAGAGACCCTAAGGCCGTCGTGTGGCCATCTTCTGGGGACACTTCCCAGGTCAGTGGGGCCTTCCTCACTGTGTGCTCAGCTGTGTCCACTCTGGAAGTGGAGGACAGACCTGGTCGGCAGGAGGTTCAGCGTCAGGACAGCTCAGTGCTTGGGGGGGCGGTACAGGGAAGACGAGCCCAGCCATCTTGGATAGTGAATGGCAAGAGCTTTCAAAATTGGCCAAAGGAAACTCCCGGGGTGCTAGTCCCAGGCGAAGTGGTGCGGAGAAGGCAGGGCCCGGACTGGCCCTGGCTCACCCGGCAGGAGGTGAGGCGAGGAGACTCTATGTGAAAGCTGTGTTCCTCCCAGGAAGGAGGCAGGATGTCCCTCTCCAATTTCTCTCTGCTGGTTTGGAACACAGATTTCACTTTCTGCTACTTTTTGTGACTGTGTGTGAAAGAAACATCCTCTAATTTTGAGAAAATTCTGTTTTTCTCCTGGGTGCGTGTGCCAGGTGCGCCTCATGGACATCAGGATGCAAGTGTCCCAGGAGGAAGAGTGGAGAAGCCCATTCCTTAGGTTTCCCACCCGCTGAAGGTCTTTGGTGCCGGTGGTAGACAGGACGCTGGCTGTGGGGCAGTGCAGCCTGTGTTAATTTTTTAAGGCAAATAACAGAAAAACCCAAAATAAGAGTGGCTTAAACCATGGCGCTCTGGGCTGTGGCCATAGCTCTGTGGCTTCAGGGACCAGCCTCTCTAGCCAGCAGGGATGGGAGCAGGAAGGAAGAGGCTGGGCCGCCCGT